CATTCTGAACCCAATGCCTGGAAAGCGGATCATGATGGCATGAGTATCGCACCGCAGTCCTTTACCTGGATGACCACCTGCCGTCAGGGATTAGACCCCGCCTCGACTACCTTCTGGGACGGCAGTTTCGAATTGGTGACAGACTTCTCTCCACCCAATCACTTCCGGCCACACGCTATGGGCCGACCCTGGTTTGACTACGAGCTCCATTGGATGCTCAAGCGTCGAAAAGAAGCGTGGAAAGCATTCAGCGCTAATGGATTTATCTTTGACCAATACGAAGCTCTGCGTAATGCCTGCTCTGCAATGAAATTCAGAAAACGGTTAGTAAACGACAAGTCCCTGGCATCTGAAGCGGCCTTTATGCCGAAGCGTTTCTACGAATATCTCCGTCACCGCACGCATTCAACGGCTGACATACCATCCTTGGAGATTAACGGTATCCTGGCAGAAACGGATGTTGACAACAATATGCGCTCGTCTATGCTAATGATATATCACCAATCCCCCGGCTGTCGTGCTCTGCGCCTCTGCTGTCTTGGCAAGCCATCTCGGTAGACGAGGTGCGTGACGCGCTTTCGGCTTCGAAACCATACCAGTCACCGGGTCCTGACGGACTGCATCCCATCAGGCTGAAGGAGTGCCGGTCATTGCACCTACCTTGACCGTTTTGTTCGAACAATCATTAGCCGGAGGAAGGTTGCCCGCCGAGTGGAAAACCCCAAATAGGAGCCCGTGGGGACCCCGCCAACTACCGCCCGGTCAGTCTCACCTGTGTGACCGTCACGGTGATGGAGCATGTACTCGCGAAGCGACTCCAAGAAAACCTCCTATTAAACAATCTTCTGTGCCCGTGGCAGAGGTTTGCAGCAATCTTGCGTCTCTAATCTGCTACTTGCTCGGCAGCAATGGGCATCTGCTAAGTCCACTGGCCACGAAACGAACATCATCTTCATTGACTTTAGCAAGGCATTCGACAAGGTGCCAAACGGATGGTTGTTAGAGAAGCTGATGGCTCACGGTGTTGCAGACCATCCACTACTATGGATTGAGGATTTCCTCGTCAGGCGGACGTTTACTGTCGGAGTTACCCAGACCGAGTCGCGTTGATATCCTGGCACCAGTAGAGTGCCGCGGGTTTCTATCCTAGGACCTGTACTGTTCCTTCTATTCGTGAATGGCCTGCCCTCCCAGTTTAACTCATCTTGCCTGCTGTACGCAGATGATGTGAAACCCTAGAGAGCCATAAGAACACCGGAAGACCACCACGCCCTCCAAGAAGGGTTCGACACGTTACACCACTGATCTGATATCTGGGAACTTCCACTGAGCTCTCCTAAATGCGCTCGTATGCGCCTGGGACGGAAGACACCGCACATTCCTTATCTGATGAACAACATCTCACTACGTTTGACGGCTACCAAGTGGAATTCCGGAGTTATCATCTCTTCATCCATGAAGACCCAGATGAACACCGTGTGAGCATGTTCTGCGGAAACCACCATGCTAGGTGCCATCCATCGGTCGTTTGATGGCCTGTCGTTCACGTCCTTCAAGAATTTGTTCGCCTCCTATGTTCGTCCTAGGATTGAATACAGTGGACCTGTGGTGATTACGAACATCAAGAAACAGGCAAAACTATAAGCCAACGGGCTTTCTCCGCCTGTAATCTGGACATTGGACATTGGACTACATCATTTGTCAGCTTGTTCCAGCTGTTGATGATACGTAACGCGAAGAAGCTGGTCCAGATTGTTCGACAAACCCTTGGTTTCTTCAGTTTGCGGCTGGAAACATGCATATTCTGTTCCCCATGTAGCTCAACCAGGTGTCTGGTACCTTGCAAATAACCTATGAGGATACTAAGGGTTTCGATAAGGTCACCTTCAAGTCTACGATGCTCGAGGGAAAACAGACCCAGTGCTTGCAGCTTTTCAATGTATGTCAGTCTCCTTACGAGAGGGAACATCCCCGTAAAGCAGCGTTCAACCAATTCCATTAACAGTATAACCCGCACCAATACTGGTGCCCAAACTTGAACACAGTACTGCAGGTGGGGTCGTAAAAACGCCTCGTACATGGGGAAAAATAACTCTGATTCTCTGGCGAATAACGTACCAGGCAGAATATACAGTGCTGAATTCGATCCGTGGGCTGCTATCGATAACTGACGTAAATATGAGAAAGTGGAATTTATGATAATACCGAAATCCTTCACCTCGGTGCTTAGTTTCATTGCTTCGCCTGAAGATTACCCCAAGTACAGAGAACTGCTACTGGTCAGAGGCAGGCTTCATTTAGTATTCCATACGTGCAACCTGTTCAGGTCAATTTGCATCTCTTCGTTGTCAGGAGAGGTTAACATTTTGACATCATCGGCAAACAAGAACAGTAGGTTCACTACACACTATGCCAAGTCGTTGATGAA